GTCCTGCATCGGGCTCCCTGCTCAGCAGGGAGTCTGCTTCTCCCTCTGACCCTCCCCCCTCTCATGTGCTCTCTCTCATTCTCTCTCTCTTTCAAATAAATAAATAAAATCTTTAAAAAAAAAATAAATCTTAAAAAACAAAAAACCAAAAAAACCTAAACTAAAGGGAACAAGAAAGAGCATCACGGTAGGCCTGGAGGAGATAGGTTATTTCAGCCCTTGCCCTGCCACTGGGCCAGGAGCTTAATTTTTGGCATCGGATTATCACTTGGCCGGGCTGCCCCTAATCTCCCCCTGGTCCACCTTACAGATGTCGAAGCAGTTGGACATGTTCAAGAGCAACCTGGAGGAATTTGCCAGCAAGCACAAGCAGGAGATCCGGAAGAATCCCGAGTTCCGGGTGCAGTTCCAGGACATGTGTGCCACCATTGGGGTGGACCCTCTGGCCTGTAAGGAGCTGTCCGCAGGGCTGTGGTGTTCTTGTAGGGCTCCGGAGGGGCGGAAGCTCATCTGGCCATCATCACTGTGGCTAGGGCCCCTTCCAGAAGGCCCTTCTAGAAGGGCCTGCAGGGAGAGCCAGGGGCTGTTGTTGCCAGGGAGTACCCAGCAGGATGGCTGAGTGTGCAGGGGGATGGGGAAGCTGGAGACACTGGCCTTGGGCTAGTAGCCAGGGTGGGTACCGGCCTTCCCGTGAGGGACCTCCAGTGGAGTTTCTGAACAGCTATTTCTCCCTTTATTAAAAAGATAATTTAGTTTTAATGAGAGTAGCATGTAATCATGGAGTCAGTCAATAAAGGAGGAAAAAGAGAAAGTACAAATCTCCTGACCCTGTCCCATAGTGGCAGACAAATATTAACAGTCCAAGATAGCTTTCTGGACACCTTCATCCTATTTATAAACTTTTTTTTTTTTTTAACATACTGGATTATGCTATAATTACTACTCTGTAACCTGCATTTTTTTTACCCAGGCAGCTGTTGTCTTCAGTTGATTTTTGAAGGCCTGGTCTGCATATTGTTTCTCTCAGCCTTGTCTAGATCCTGTGTCCCATTATATTTCACTGTATAATTTGGGAAAGGAAGGCTCATTTTTATAGTGTTCTGAGCCAGAATTCACCAAATAGAAATGCCTTTTAGATTGCCCACCTGTCCGAGCCTGGTTTTTAGGAGGAATTTCCAAGACTTCAACTGTCTTGAGGATCCTGAGTAGTAAATGGAGCCCCAGGACTTAGGCTAGGCAGGGAAGGCTTCCCACAGGATAGATGTTTTAATTTAGCTTTGAAAGAAAAGAAAGGATAGAAAATAACCTATGACCTGCTTTTGTTTTTCTGTCTTTCAGCTGGAAAAGGCTTTTGGTCTGAGATGCTAGGTGTGGGGGATTTCTATTATGAGCTGGGTGTCCAGATTATAGAAGTGTGCCTGGCCCTGAAGCACCGGAATGGAGGTGAGGCTGGCTAAGTCCTGCGCACTGGGCTTTGGACTTCTCAGAGGGAGAAAACCTTGAAAGGTGATCTTTTCCATCCTGCAGTCTGCGGGCCAATAAGATCTTGAGAACCTGTTAGATCTTCAGAAACATCTTAGCGGCTTCATGTGGTTGAAAAATGGAATTACCTGAATGATTGTCTCTATTCCCTAGAGATCTTCGCCCAGGAAGGTCTTAGCCCCTGGTTATTACAGAAAATAATAGGGAGGTAGGAAATAGGCCTTTTCCCCTGATATACAACACGTCCAGGTTATGATTTTATCACTAGTAACTATGTATCCTGGCGCTCCAAGGTGGGGTGGTGCCAAGTTTCTAGGCTCCCCAAAACGTGACCTAAAAATGGTCATCCAGTGGTGTCATCTTAATAAAGCACTTCGAATGGTCTGTGTTGAAGTTAGAAAGAAAACTTAAAACCAGTTATAAATCATTGGTCATAAATAGATACGGCCTTGATGTTAAGAGCACCTTTATAGGGCGCCTGGGTGGCTCAGTTGATTAAGCGACTGCCTTCGGCTCAGGTCATGATCCTGGAGTCCCTGGATCGAGTCCCGCATCGGGTCCCTGTTTGGCAGGGAGTCTGCTTCTCCCTCTGGCCCTCCCCCCATCTCGTGTGCTCTCTCTCAAATAAATAAATAAAAAATAAAATCTTTAAAAGAGCACCTTTATAGTTTTTCAGAGATGATGCTGCCCCTGTTTTTTATATTTTTGTTTTGGGTTGGTTTGGCTTAGCCATGAAGGTAATCCTCCGTTTGCTTTCCTCCCCGCCCCCCCAGGTCTGATAACTCTGGAGGAACTGCATCAACAGGTGTTAAGAGGAAGGGGCAAGTTCGCGCAGGACGTCAGCCAGTAGGTCTTGCCTTCCGACCCCTTGGAGTATAGAAAGGTCTTTAAAAATCAGATGGAAATCTTTTCTCTTTACTGCTCGCATGTCTAGGCTACTTTTGGGATCATTTTCGTTTCTCTTTATGATCAGAAAACATGTTTTTTAGAAAACTGAAAATACAGCGATATAAAGAACCAGAAGCCACCCGTTATTTCTCAACTGAGAGATTACAACTGTTGACATTTTGGTGTATTTTCTTCTAAGCATTTTTTTTTTCATGTGTACGCATGTATTGTTACTATTTTTTTTTTTTTTAACATACTTGGGGCTTAATCTTCAGATTATTTGAGGTCAAGGAGATTAGCGCAGGCACTGAGAAAGGCTGGGGAACAGGGTGGGGGGTCAGAAGATGGGGTACAAATTGATCTGGTTCACCAGCCTCTGTGTGTGACTTCAATTTGAGAAAAGGTTAAAAACAAAGGCTGTCAGTGTGGGCTGGGTATAGGGTCTACACACTGTCTTGTGGGTTTTCTTTTTCCCTAATTCGAGATAGTTGTTAACCGGAAACCAGATAATCCGGCAGGACTGGGCCTGAATTTCCAAATGGCAATATTCAGCTGGGTTGCCCTCTGTAACATGGATAAGCATTTTCTGTTTTGCCATAGTTCACACTGCTCCCTGTCTCTTGCATTTAAGCTCATTCATTCACACTCCCCGACAGGCTCCCGTGAGCAGATTTTTGACCTCTGTCCGGGGTCAGAAAGGTTTGCTGAGTGGAGAGCCCCGTACCTGTACCCTCTGCTGTGAGCGTCCCAGCACCATCTGGTGCCCCTTGGCCCTACCTTTTTACTGATGTCACCGACTGGTGTGCAGCTGTTTGAGTCTTCTGTCAGGGTGTCCTGGCCCGGGGCAGAGCTGAGATACTGCATCGTGGCTGGGTCTGGTGTGCCAGAGGTCTGTAAGCAGCTCTCCCTCACTGCAGAGACGACCTGATCAGGGCCATCAAGAAACTGAAGGCGCTGGGCACGGGCTTCGGCATCATCCCTGTGGGCGGCACCTACCTCATTCAGTCTGTTCCGGCTGAGCTCAACATGGATCACACGGTGGTGCTGCAGCTGGCCGAGGTACTGGTCTGCCTTCTGGGGGCAGGGGGGGGGACAGTCGGAGTGACTCCAGTCTTTCGCTGAGACTGTCCAGCGGACGCACGACTCAGACCTGTGCTTGTTTAGAAGCCATTTATTGAGCAGCTACAGCACGAAGCAGCGCCCGGGCCGTGGGGGTGGAATGACGGGCACCGTACAGCTCCTGCTCTCGGGGAGCTTACAGTCTAGAGGGGCAGACGGACATGCACACAGCGAACCGCGTTTTCTTGGGTAGACAGATTCTTTGAGGTCTTCGGAATACTACTTTCTGTATGGGCTCTTCAATACAAAGGTTCCCTCCTGTTTGCCATTCCCATTACTCAGCATGCCTTAAGCATATCCCCTCTTCCCCCAAGTCCATATCCTGAGTGTAGGGAAGACATGTTCAGTTTTCTTAATTCGATAATGTAGAACAAAACTAAATAAGGAGGGGCTTTTCTCATTGGGGGCTGAGTAAGGTGAGGCAGGGAACTGTCAGTTAATTATTCTGAATCTTGTTATATTCTGAAGTTCTCTGAGAAGGTCTAAATTAATATTTTAGTACCAGGGACCCCACTTTTTAAGACTGAACCCGCCCCCCCCACACACACTTCTGTCACCCTGAGAGTCGCTTCTCTGTCTTTGCTGGGACTTCTAAACATTCTTTTTCTATGCTTTTACGCTTCAAGGGCAGTTCTTCCTCCTGTCTGGGGTCAGTCCGTTGTTGCCGGGCAGGTGCTGGGTTCTCAGGGAAAGTCCACTGTTAACTGACCCCCCCTTCCTCCTTCCTTCAGAAAAATGGCTACGTGACCGTCAGTGATATCAAAGCCAGTCTTAAATGGGAGACCGAGCGAGCGCGGCAAGTGTTGGTATGTGAATTTTGGAATGGCCCAGAAGAGATGGCCCCCAGATGGGTGGAGGTGGGTGGGTAGATAGCACCCCGGCAGAAACTTCAGCCTTGCTCTGCTGGCCTCTTGCCTTGAAGGCTGCTGTCACCACAGAGAAGCAAGCCCCGCATTCCCCTGAAGGTGCCACTGAGGTCCAACTCAGAGGCAGGCTTCTAACTCCGCTGTAGGCAAGTCACCAAAACCCCTTCTCTCCCCCGACCTGTGGAGCCTGGTCAGACAGTTCCTACAGTTTGTATCGGAAGTAACACCGTTAACACAGAGTGAAGGGAAATGTTACCTGCTTAATTACATACCCATAATTATATGCTATTATACTGTATATGAGATAGTGAGCGTTTTATATATACAGATGTCATGGTACGAAGGAAAGGTTGATGTGAAGGAGTAGCAGGAGAATGGAACCCTGGCTTTCAATACCTTCTTCCTTATCCGGGCAATTAAACTATACACTTAGGTGTAGAGCAGGGTCACGTAATCGTCTCTTTAATGCTACCGGGCACAAGCAGCCCATCGTGAGCGTGTTTCCAGCTGCAGGAATTGCAAGTCCCTTCTAAACTAATAGAGTCCTTCCGGTAATTTCTACATAAAGGTTCACCCACAAGTTAACGGGAAACCTAATGCCAACAGTGGTCTCCATTTTGCTTCAGGGAAATGGGACCGGGGCCTTGCTTCGGGCCACGGGGTGGACGTCCCTGCGGCCCCACGTCCCTCCTGCGACGCCCCCCATGCCTTGTCTTTACCCTCTTTCCTAGTGGCATAGGTTAAGTGATTCGGTGGCATTTTTTACACCTCAGGCCAAGGAGAACCCGGAATTCCAGTTGGGTTGTGTAACTACGTGAAGGCACTCGTGTAGATTTAGTCTGAAAACCCCACTGAAGCCAAAATGGTTTGTCCGCCCCACAGGAACTCCGTCTTCATAAATGACTGCCTCCTTTCCCCTCCAGGAACACCTGCTGAAGGAAGGGCTGGCCTGGCTGGACCTGCAGGCCCCAGGGGAGGCCCACTACTGGCTGCCGGCTCTCTTCACTGACCTCTACTCCCAGGAGATTACAGCCGAGGAGGCCAGAGAAGCCCTCCCCTGACTCCGCGAGTACAGAAGGGGCCCCCGCGGTAGGCAGGGACAGGGTGGAGCTGCTGGCGAATAAAACCTGAATCACTTTTTTCTTTTTTGAAAAGAAAGAAAAAGTTCCAAGTTTTTTCTCTCCTCAAGACTCTTCACCCATTATTTTATTTTATTTTATTTTAAAGTGCCTTCACATTGCATCTTTATTGGAGAAAACCTCATTTTATCCAGTAAGGATAACCTGAGTAACAGAGAACAGTGAGCGTGTACGAAATGACCTGCACAGGTCATCTACAAGTTCATGGTAGAGCTGGGTCTACAACGAAGGTGGTCTGTCTCCTGGCTAGACAGTCTAGTCTCTCTGTAGCCCTGGGACGTACATTATAGCCCCCTAATTCAAACCTTGTCCTTATAAAAATGTTTATCTCAAACGAGCAGACCCTGATGGACCAGTAATAGCCACTCGTTCAGTCTCCAGCTTCCTCTAGAACTTCCAGGTTCTGACAGACTTTGGCCGAGTGTGAAGGAAATAAGAGGTCAAAATTAGGTGGTGGTTAGAGGTAAGAATCTATGGAACCTGAGGGAGTGGCCCAGCAGTAGACGGAGTCGTCGAGTTCCGCACCAGCTCCCCTCCTGTGCTGATCGCTAGGTCCCCCTGGCCTTAGCGGCGGGAAGGGCATCATTTACTGAACACCTACCCTGGACCATCTTCTCGACCCTTAATCCTCATGGCCACTTTCACTGGTTCAGGGAGTAGGTTCTCCTTACTGTCTCAGGTGAGGAACTGAAGTAGTTCACCGGGGGCCACCAGCTTCGGAAGCAAAGCGAAGAGCCAGAGCCTAAGTCCACTGCCGCGTGGGCCTTCACTTTCCTACATCCCGGCTCGGCCTGGCACAGGCTGGCCGGGTATCTCGGACTGTCTTCCTAGCCGCGGGGTCAGCCAAGAGGAAAAGCCTCTGCACCTGAAAGCCAGAGCCCTTCTTTAGCAAGTAGGGGAGGAAGGTGGCTGTATGAAGCTGTCTTCGTGGTCTGAGTGCTGAATTCCTAAGAGCTGGTTTAGTAGCAGAAATCTGAAAACCCAGTGGGGTTTGGATTATCCAGAACTTAAAGACGCCCTTTCCTTACCCAGAGATACAGTCTAGATCTGCCTGTCCTTGGAGGACATGCTCCCTTCCCAGTTTGTGAAGAAGGGGCTCTTTGGAAGCAACTAAGACCAAGATGGCATTCCTCTCCTTGACTGCCAGAGGTGGTCTCAAAAGAGGCCCTTCTCCTTCTGGTTGGCGGGAGACTCGGCCCCAGCAGCCCTGCTTCCACCCGTGCCCTGTAACTGGAGTTTCCAGCCTCCAGACAATGCATCGAACACTTTCTCCCTGACAGTTTCAGACCTAGGTGAGAGGTGTGGTTGTTGAGAATCCCAGTCTCCCTTGACACAAACCCTCCCACACCCACAGGCGCTTCCTCCTTCTGCCAAAACAAACTTTATTGCACCAAAAAGAAAAAAAAAAAAACTTCATTTATGTACAGTCAGATATAAAGACATCTCTTTTGACTCCTGTGCATATATTTCCTCAACTCAAGATTAGGGCATAAAAGTCAGGCAGGTATGCCAGACATGCTCTGCCCATGGCAGGGCCAAGGAGAGGATTGTCACTTGAAAAGTGGGAACACTTAAATGGATGACAGACAACCACTGGACCAACAGACCAAGGGCATTCTCCTAGGCCCTGTGCTTGCTCTGGGAATGGAAGAGGGAAATTGGAAGCAGGGTCCCTTTTTGAGTCTCCTTGTTAGGAGGCCCAGCCTTAGGTATCTCAGATAAACTTCCGTTCCCCAAGCCTACTTCCTGTCCAGTTTGTTTGCTTCCTGCCCTCCCAAGTCGGACATTCTCCTTTGTGCCCAACCCCTTCCGAACTCCCCCCGGGAAGTCCCACGACCCACAGAGAGGCCTCCATAGCAGCGGGCAGGGCAGGCCCAAGTCCTCCTCTCCCGGACACTGGCCCCATACTGACTGAGGCCCTGCGGCACAGGGATCGCCAACACCCCACTGGGAGCCATAACAATAAGAATCTGGGAAGTATGGGGAGAACACACCAAAAAGGGGAAGGCTGGATTCCCTCAGTGCCCAGGACCACAGGGCGCCTAGAGCACGTTTTTTCTGAGCCAACCAGCTAAAGGATCACTGCAGCTAGATAGAGAGAAGCAACACAGCCAGGCAAGCGCCCATCCAAGCCGGCGACAGAGCAGCTGGGAGGGCGGGGAGGGGGACAGGCAAGAGAAGCGGAGGAGCCCAGAGTCCCAGCCCCAGCCCCTCTGCCATTGGCCAACCCTTGCTCCCCACAAGTTCCTGGGCATCGAAGTGAGGGGGAGGGGTGGGAGTGACTAGAGGCCGGGGTGAAAATACACAAGGACAGCCAAACAAAACACAACAGCACTAGCATCAGTCTCCCGCTGCACCCCGCCCCCAGGAGAAATACCCTCATCGTGGCTAGCATTCAGGAACATCTGTAAGAGACTATTCTATGTAGTGGCTCTTATCCCCCCCCACACAGCAGCTGGCTGCGTTGGGAACTTTTCAAATCAGTGATTGCGGGAACAAAATTGGCTTCTCATGGTGCCTGTGCGGCTTTACCAGGACCTTGGTTCAGTCCCAGTCACGTTTACCTTCTGTCTTAAATCTAGAAATGGGCGTGGGAATGGGGGGGCAGAGGAGAAAGGTGCTCAGGTGCTAGGTAAAGCTTACTGATCAGCAGCCTAGACTCCACCACTGTTCCTTCTCTTTGGTCTGTCTAGAACAGTGACTATAAATTAGGAAAAACAAAATTATGCTGGCCCATGGGAAGTAATGGGAGAAGAGGCAGGGAGGAAAAGGGCATTGGGAAGCCCTGCTTCAAGACTGAAGACAGACAGACAACCACCCAGACTGCTTAAGTGTCACAGACAGCCCCCCACCCAAAGCTCCCTTCCAGATATCCCCATCAGTCATTTGGGCACACTCCCTCTTGGAATTACAGTTTGTCTCCCACCTACCCCTAAGGGGCTGACCCTGTGGAGAGGTGTGTCGGTTGGTTGGTTTTTGTCAGAGGCCCCTTGCCCTAGGTGCTCCTGCATAGGTACCTTGGCCCCTGCTATGGGATGAACACAGCCCCAGATGCTCGAGAGCCAGGGAGGTCGGATCAGGAACAGCCTCCCCACTCCCACACCCTGGGATCCGAGCTTGCTTGGTTCTTGCCATCTTGCAGGATGACGTCACGTTTGGAGGGAGATACACAGTGCCTCTCCGTCCCTGGGGTGGGGGGGAAGGGACTTTGCTGGGACTCTTGAGTGGGGGGAGGGGAGAAGGGAGCAGGGTCTAAACCCTCAGGCTCCCGTGCAGGTCTGTCTCTGTCCCAGACGAACTGCTATCAGAGTCCATTTCGGCGTTCTCATTATGGAGCCTCTCCAGCACTTTCTGACGAATCAGTCCCAGGCGCATCAAGAGGGACTGGTAGTCAAAGTGGCCACGCTTCTCTCCAAAAGGGTCCTGTGGGGGAAAGGAGACAAGCGGGATGGAAGATTCGAGTCTGGGTGGCTCACCCTAGAGAGAGCAGCTTCGGGCCCATGTTGGACGCACGCTCCACTTCTGAGCCGTGGGAGTAGAAAGGAGAGCGCTGACAGATCCCTACGGCTGACAGCATACCCTTGGCTTAGGAGTATTGTGGCGCGTCAACCACCCAGACAGGTCTGGCTTGCGCCAACGTTAAAATGTGTTTTTGTTCCCTGAGAGCAAAGCCACTATGCAGGTGAGGGTCACGGTAAAGGCGAGGCAGGCAAGCAGCAGAAATCCAAGACCAGAACTGTGCCTGTATCTGCAATTAACTTCATAAAAACCACATAAGGGAAATTCCACCCTTCTTTCCCTATATTCAAAAAGGAAAATTTGCTTTTCCAACATCACAGGCGTGTAGGAACTCAGGAGTTCTGACTTCCCGATAAGCACCCATACGCTCTTCCCAAGAGACCTGTCACCACCTTCCTGTCCGCTTTGTAGCTGTCACTCCAGGGCCACCAGCCTTGATCCTAGTCCTTGTCATCCTACAGCAAACATCTCCAAACGTTTTGTGCTAACTGTCCTTAAAATCTCAAGAATAACTAGGGCTGGAGTGGAGGGCATAAACACAAGGAAGGTAAAATGCTATACAGAGAACATGGCAGCAAAGGGGCACATGGCCAGGGTTTGGACAAGTGAAGACCTCTTGAGTCACAAAAAGGTACACGATTTTGCCCTCCCATATTCTGCTTCTCCCACATAAACTCCTTCCACGCTTCTGCCCACACATCACCCTCATGATCAGGGACCAGTGAACACAAGCCAGTCACTGTGATTACAGCCCACGCTTTTCGCTTCCGAGGGTTACGTTCCCCACAGGCTGAACTCCACACTTACTCTGGAGCTGTCAATTTTTCAAATCTTCCTTTTTTCATCCTTGGCTCCATTTCCACCCACTTCCCTCCTCCCCAGACGCTGCTCTTCCCTTTCCTTCTCTCATCACGAGTTATTTTTCCTCCACAGAGTGAATATTGGAAATGCTTTTGAACACTAGCAATGAGAATTCCTGGGGAATGAACCATGGCAGGCATCATGGACTCTGCAAAAGGGGTCAGGAACAAGTTGATGCTGAGCCGGCCTTGCCGTTTGAGGTTTTGTTTGTTTTTTTTAAAGCAATCTCCAGACCCAACGTGGGGCTCAAACTTCCAACCCTGGGATCAATAGTCACATGCTCTTCCAACGGAGCCAGCCTGGCGCCCCTGCCCTTTGAGTTTTAAGGTGGCAGATGGGTGGGAAGTCCTTGAAGGAAGGACAGGGAAACTACCATTTCTAAGCAGCAGCTGAGGAAAGAAGACATTTATGCCTACTGCTGCTACTGGGGCCTGGGTGGGGGAAGCGGCTCAGGAAGAGCTGGAGAGAACCTTCCTGAGTCGTTCATCCAAGTCAGCACGATTCTAAGCAAGACCACCAGTAAATGATCCAAAAGACACAACTGGTCCTTCAGGACAGGGGGAGTCTCACCCTCTTACCAACCAGGTCTTTTATATTTAAGCCCGTTTACGATTTGGTTTAGTAAAAATC